GTCGGAATGATCACTGACATGTATGTTTCTGTAGCAGTTCATGGGCAGAAGTTTATAATTAATAGAGTATTAGAAATGGTTTAGATATTAAAAAAAATGAATAGAATATTATCTGCCTAGGGCTTTTTTAATTATGTATCATATTATTTGTCTTTTATTCATGAATGTATATATAATTAAAGTCTTACATGTTCACAAATGTTAAAGTAAAGACTGATTATTGTGTATGCTCAGTTATATATCTGTGTGTGTGTATGTGTGTGTGTATGTGTGTGTAATTGTGTGTGTGTGCATGTGTATGTATATGTGTGTTATGTGGTATATGTGTGTATATGTGTGTGTGTGTGTGTGTGTGTTGTGTGGTGTTGTGTGTGTGTGTGTGTGGTGTATGTGTATGTGTATGTGTATTGTGTGATGTGTATGTGTATGTGTGTGTATGTGTATGTGTATGTGTATGTGTATGTGTATGTGTATGTGTATGTGTATGTGTATGTGTATGTGTATGTGTATGTGTATGTGTATGTGTGTGTGTGTGTGTGTATTTTTTTCTCTGCTTTTTATTACAGAGTATGAGTAGTTTATTTATATATATAAGAAAATATCTTAATGTCTACAATGTATTTCTCCTCATAGGCAATAGCGTCATCCGTGTGTGGTGTGGTGGTGGTGCTTTCTTGCTACCATGATGTGATGTGGGCTGTCCATCCTTTGGCCTCACAATATGGCTTGGCAGCTTCAAGTTACTTTATATATGATACTTTTGCAATGTATGAGGTAAGACATATTTTTTTGAATTGCAGAAAATTCATGATTTTACATTTTTATTTCATGTACCAGCTTTATTGATAACATACATCTTCAGATCTATGCAAATCATCTTTCTGTTACTTCCTTATACATATGATACATTCTTTTTACATGATAAACATGAGAGAAATGTACCTAGTTCTGCTTTACTTGTATGTTTGGAGCCACAGTTTTTATAGGACCAGATTTTTTAACTAAAAGAAAGTAAGACATACTGTTGTAACAGACTACCATGATAGTAAGTAGTTTATTGAAATTGTTTACCAGATAGTAATATTTTTTTACTAAGATAATTTCCAATCCGAAGGTCTACTTATCAAGCTTACCAGAAGTGCCTGAATCTTTTGGCAAACGTGTTAAGGGATTTGTAAAGAGGAGAACTTTACTTGTGTTACATCATGTAGGGGTGTCTGCATTTCTCTTTCCCGTAAGTATGATTTAAATGTGCACCCGTTATGATAATAGATATTTGATATTACAATGTCTATCATCCAAGTATTTTTTTGTTACGTCTATTATACGACTACATATATCATCATGACTTAGTAAGAAGTGCTAACAATAAAAAAAATTACATCTCAAGGTTTGATTGTGTCAAAGGTAAGGTTGATAATCAACATTTCATTCTAATTAATCTAAATACAAACTTTATCCTTGTTCCATAGAAAAAGGAATAGTTATTTTAAAACTTTTGTCTTCATTCATACTTTGAAAATGTTTGCCAGGTGTTGGTGTATCGAAGTGGCATTGGTGACTTCTTTGTCGGGTGTTTCTTCTGTGTTGAGCTGAGTGGTCCCTTCACAAACATGAGAGTTATTCTTAGTAGACTCGGACTGAAATATTCAAAGTAAGTGTTCATTATAAGGAAAATAACATTGTGATATGTTTTATAAGGAGGTGTTTAGGTTACAGACTGAGATTTAAGCACTTCATGTTTTGTGTTATATATATGTAAATTTTCTGGAAATTTTGCCATTTATTATTTTGCACTTCTAGCATAGACTTTTGAAAATCAAAGCTTGGGCATTTTGTTACTCTGTGTGCTGTATGTTTAATTTTTTTTTTTTTGTATGTCCATTTATGAATCATATATGTATATTATACATTAACTTTTAATATCAAGGAAGAATCTCTTAGCATCACTCATAATTGCTCAACAGATTCTCCTTACTGGTCCTCCTACCAGATGTTTTTAAGTTATATTGTCTTTGTTCACAATTATCCCATGTATGCTTTGGTATGTAAAAGATAATTTTGCTGTCAAATAGCATTTTTTATTATGTCACTCATGCTAGTTTTGAAGACTGATGAACATTCATAGATTCCCAATAGTCTCTTCTGCTACAAAAAAGCTGCTATACTCTATGAATTTCCTTTGACTGGTTGTTGTATGCCTCGTTTAGAAATGAGTGAGAACTCAGGCAGTAGCTACAAAGCCAGCAAAGTAAAAGACAGCATCCACAAGTAATACAAACACATTTAGTTAAACAAAAATAGTTTGTACACTCAAAAATGCCTATAGTTTAAAATTAGCTCTTGTAGAAATTAATTATTTTCCTTTAAACAGAATGTTATTTTTCATGCCAAAAAAAAAAGAATGAAGTAGCTACCTCTCTCTTCAATGTTGTATTAGGTCATTCCAGTTAAAATTCAGTTAACCAAAGCTGTACTTAAGTACTTTAGGGTATCACCA